ACCCCCCCGCACTGGGATGCCCGAAGTGCATACACCGGGATTCGAACCCGAGACCTTCGCTCTGATACCATCTCAGAATCCCAACCACTAGACCATTGGGATAAAAGGGCTTGTTTCAGTAGCGGGTCAGTGCGCCCATAACCCCCCAGGCAAACGTGCCTGTAACCCTTCCCTAGGATCGATCGGGGATCACCGGTGGACCTCTGACACACGGAATCTAGTGGTCTCACTCAAATAGAAGGTAGGAAATAAATTCATCTAGTGAACGTAAGGGTTTGAAAGGAAACTAACGCACATGTGTAGAGAAAATGGTGCATCGGCCAGTCTGGCCGGCATTTCGCACTTATAGTGCAAGTAGGGCCAAGGAGAACGGAAACGCTCATTTCTCAGAAAGTAATGGGAATCTAGCGATCTCACTCAATCAGAAGGTGGGAAATATATAAATCTAGTGAGCTAATAAGGTTTGAAAGGAATCTAATGCATATGTATATGGAAAATGGTGCATTGGCCAGGTCGGTCAGTATGGGAACTTAGAGTGCAAATGCCAGGGAGAACGGAAGCGCTCAGATCTCGCATAGTACACGGAATCTAGTGGTCTCACTCAAATAGAAGGTAGGAAATAAATTCATCTAGAGAACGTACGGGTTTGAAAGGTAACTAACGCACATGTGTAGAGAAAATGGTGCATCGGCAAGTCTGGCCGGCATTTCGCACTTATAGTGCAAGTAGGGCCAAGGAGAACGGAAACGCTCATTTCTCAAAAAGTAAAGGGAATCTAGCGGTCTCACTCGATCAGAAGGTGGGAAATATATAAATATAGTGAGCTAATAAGGTTCGAAAAGGAATCTAATGCATATGTATATGGAAAGTGGTGCATTGGCCAGGTCGGTCAGTATGGGAACTTACAGTGCAAATGCCTGGGAGAACAGAACCGCTCAGATCTTGCATAATACACGGAATCTAGTGGTCTCACTCAAATATAAGGTAGGAAATATATTCATCTAGTGAACGTAAGGGTTTGAAAGGTATCTAACGCACATGTGTAGAGAAAATTGTGCATCGGCCAGTCTGGCCGGCATTTCGCACTTATAGTGCAAGTAGGGCCAAGGAGAACGGAAACGCTCATTTCTCAAAAAGTAAAGGGAATCTAGCGGTCTCACTCGATCAGAAGGTGGGAAATATATAAATCTAGTGAGCTAATAAGGTTCGGAAGGAATCTAATGCATATGTATATGGAAAGTGGTGCATTGGCCAGGTCAGTCAGTATGGGAACTTAGAGTGCAAATGCCTGGGAGAACGGAACCGCTCAGATCTCGCATAATACACGGAATCTAGTGGTCTCACTCAAATATAAGGTAGGAAATATATTCATCTAGTGAACGTAAGGGTTGAAAGGTAACTAATGCACATGTGTAGAGAAAATGGTGCATCGGCCAGTCTGGCCGGCATTTCGCACTCATAGTGCAGGATGGGCCAGGTAGAACGGAAACGCTCATTTCTAAAAAAGTAGAAGGAATCTAACGGTCTCACTCGATCAGAAGGTGGGAAATATATAAATCTAGTCAGCTAAAAAGGTTTGAAATGTATTCAACGCACATGTATAGAGAAAATGGTGCATTGGCCAGGTCGGTCAGTATCGGAACTTAGAGTGCAAATGCCAGGGAGAACGGAAGCGCTCAGATCTCGCATAGTACACGGAATCAAGTGGTCTCACTCAAATAGAAAGTAGGAAATATATTCATCTAGTGAACGTAAGGGTTTGAAAGGTAATTAACGCACATGTGTAGAGAAAATTGTGCATCGGCCAGTCTGGCCGGCATTTCGCACTTATAGTGCAAGTAGGGCCAAGGACAACGGAAACGCTCATTTCTCAGAAAGTAAAGGGAATCTAGCGATCTCACTCGATCAGAAGGTGGGAAATATATAAATCTAGTGAGCTAATAAGGTTCGAAAGGAATCTAATGCATATGTATATGGAAAATGGTGCATTGGCCAGGTCGGTCAGTATGGGAACTTAGAGTGCAAATGCCAGGGAGAACGGAAGCGCTCAGATCTCGCATAGTACACGGAATCTAGTGGTCTCACTCAAATAGAAGGTAGGAAATAAATTCATCTAGTGAACGTAAGGGTTTGAAAGGTAACTAACGCACCTGTGTAGAGAAAATGGTGCATCGGCCAGTCTGGCCGGCATTTCGCACTTATAGTGCAAGTAGGGCCAAGGAGAACGGAAACGCTCATTTCTCAAAAAGTAAAGGGAATCTAGCGGTCTCACTCGATCAGAAGGTGGGAAATATATAAATCTAGTGAGCTAATAAGGTTCGAAAGGAATCTAATGCATATGTATATGGAAAGTGGTGCATTGGCCAGGTCGGTCAGTATGGGAACTTAGAGTGCAAATGCCAGGGAGAACGGAAGCGCTCAGATCTCGCATAGTACACGGAATCTAGTGGTCTTTCTCAAATAGAAGGTAGGAAATAAATTCATCTAGTGAACGTAATGGTTTGAAAGGTAACTAACGCACATGTGTAGAGAAAATGGTGCATCGGCTAGTCTGGCCGGCATTTCGCACTCATAGTGCAAGTAGGGCCAAGGAGAACGGAAACGCTCATTTCTCAAAAAGTAAAGGGAATCTAGCGGTCTCACTCGATCAGAAGGTGGGAAATATAAATATCTAGTGAGCTAATAAGGTTCGAAAGGAATCTAATGCATATCTATATGGAAAGTGGTGCATTGGCCAGGTCGGTCTGTATGGGAACTTAGAGTGCAAATGCCAGGGAGAACGGAAGCGCTCAGATCTCGCATAGTACACGGAATCTAGTGGTCTTTCTCAAATAGAAGGTAGGAAATAAATTCATCTAGTGAACGTAATGGTTTGAAAGGTAACTAACGCACATGTGTAGAGAAAATGGTGCATCGGCTAGTCTGGCCGGCATTTCGCACTCATAGTGCAAGTAGGGCCAAGGAGAACGGAAACGCTCATTTCTCAAAAAGTAAAGGGAATCTAGCGGTCTCACTCGATCAGAAGGTGGGAAATATAAATATCTAGTGAGCTAATAAGGTTCGAAAGGAATCTAATGCATATCTATATGGAAAGTGGTGCATTGGCCAGGTCGGTCTGTATGGGAACTTAGAGTGCAAATGCCAGGGAGAACGGAAGCGCTCTGATCTGGCATAGTACACGGAATCTAGTGGTCTCACTCAAATAGAAAAGGTAGGAAATAAATTCATCTAGTGAACGTAAGGGGTTGAAATGTAACTAACGCACATGTGTAGAGAAAATGGTGCATCAGCCAATCTGGCCAGCATTTCGCACTTATAGTTCAGGTGGGGCCAGGGAGAATGAAAATGCTCGTTTCTCAAAAAGTAGAGGGAATCTAACAGACTCACTCAATCTGAAGGTGGGAAATATATAAATCTAGTCAGCTAAAAAGGTTTGAAATGTATTCATCGCACAGGTATAGAGAAAATGGTGCATTGGCCAGGTCGGTCAGTATCGGAACTTAAAATGCAAATGCCAGGGAGAACGGAAGCGCTCAGATCTCGCATAGTACACAGAATCAAGTGGTCTTAGTCAAATAGAAAGGAGAAAATATATTCATCTAGTGAACGTAAGGGTTTGAAAGGTAACTAACGCACATGTGTAGAGAAAATTGTACATCGGCCAGTCTGGCCGGCATTTCGCACTTATAGTGCAACTAGGGCCAAGGAGAACGGAAACGCTCATTTCTCAAAAAGTAGAGGGAATCTAGCGGTCTCACTCGATCAAAAGGTGGGAAACATATAAATCTAGTGAGCTAATAAGGTTCGAAAGGAATCTAATGCATATGTATATGGAAAATGGTGCATTGGCCAGGTCGGTTAGTATGGGAACTTAGAGTGCAAATGCCAGGGAGAACGGAAGCGCTCAGATCTCGCATAGTACACGGAATCTAGTGGTCTCACTCAAATAGAAGGTAGGAAATATATTCATCTAGTGAACGTAAGGGTTTGAAAGGTAACTAACGCACATGAGTAGAGAAAATGGTGCATCGGCCAGTCTGGCCGGCATTTCGCACTTATAGTGCAAGTAGGGCCAAGGAGAACGGAAACGCTCATTTCTCAAAAAGTAAAGGGAATCTAGCGGTCTCACTCGATCAGAAGGTGGGAAATATATAAATCTAGTGAGCTAATAAGGTTCGGAAGGAATCTAATGCATATGTATATGGAAAGTGGTGCATTGGCCAGGTCGGTCAGTATGGGAACTTAGAATGCAAATGCCTGGGAGAACAGAACCGCATAGATCTCGCATAATACACGGAATCTAGTGGTCTTACTCAAATATAAGGTAGGAAATATATTCATCTAGTGAACGTAAGGGTCTGAAAGGTAACTAACCCACATGTGTAGAGAAAATGGTGCATCGGCCAGTCTGGCCGGCATTTCGCACTCATAGTGCAGGTGGGGCCAGGGAGAACAGAAACGCTCGTTTCTCAAAAAGTAGAGGGAATATAACGGTCTCACCCGATCAGAAGGTGGGAAATATATAAATCTAGTCAGCTAAAAAGGTTTGAAATATATTCACCGCACATGTATAGAGAAAATGGTGTATTGGCCAGGTCAGTCAGTATCGGAACTTAAAATGCAAATGCCAGGGAGAACGGGAGCGCTCAGATCTCGCATAGTACACGGAATCAAGTGGCATCACCCAAATAGAAAGTAGGAAATATATTCATCTAGTGAACATAAGGGTTTGAAAGGTAACTAACGAACATGTGTAGAGAAAATTGTGCGTCGGCCACTCTGGCCGGCATTTCGCACTTATAGTGCAACTAGGGCCAAGGAGAACGGAAACGCTCATTTCTCAAAAAGTAAAGGGAATCTAGCGGTCTCACTCGATCAGAAGGTGGGAAATATATAAATCTAGTGAGCTAATAAGGTTCAAAAGGAATCTAATGCATATGTATATGGAAAATGGTGCATTGGCCAGGTCGGTCAGTATGGGAACTTAGAGTGCAAATGACATGGACGTGGTCGCGGACGTGGACGTGGACATGGATATGGACATGGACGTGGATATGGACTTGGACGTGGACATGGACGTTGACGTGGACATGGACGTGGACATGGACGTGGACGTGGACATGGACGTGGACGAGGACGTGGACATGGACGTAGACGTGGACGTGGACGTGAACGTGGACGTGGTCGTGGACGTGGACGTGGACGTGGACGTGGACATGGACGTGGACGTGGATGTGGACCTGGACGTGGAATTGGACGTGGACGTGGACGTGGACGTGGACGAAGACATGGTCCTGGACGTGAACGTGGACGTAGACATAGACATAGACGTGGACGTGGACGTGGACATGGACGTGGACCTGGTCGTGGACGTGGACGTGGAGGAACATAGACGTGGACGTGGACGTGGACATGGACGTGGACGTGGACGTGGACGTGGACATGGACGTGGACGTGGAGGTGGACGTTGACGATGACGTGGACGTGGACATGGTCGTGGACGCGGACATGGATGTGGACGTGGACATGGACGTGGACGTGGACGTGGTTGTGGACGCGGACGTGGACGTGGACATGGATATGGACGTAGACATGGTCGTGGACGTGGACATGGACATGGACGTGGACGTGGACGGGGACGTAGACGTGGACGTGTACGTGGAGGTGGACGTGGACAAGGACGTGGACGTGTACGTGGACGTGGACGTGGACAAGGACGTGGACGTGGACATGGACGTGGACGTGGACGTGGACATGGACGTGGACGTGGAGGACTTGGACGTGGACGTGGACGTGGACATGGACGTGGACATGGACGTGGACGTGGACGTGGACATGGACGTGGACATGGACGTGGACATGGACATGGACATGGACGTGGACATGGACGTGGACATGGAAGTGGACGTGGACGTGGACGTGGACGTGGACATGGACGTAGATGTAGACGTGGACGAGGACATGGACATGGACGTGGACGTGGACGTGGACGTGGAGGTGGACGTGGACGTAGACGTGGACGTGGACGTGGACTGGACGTGGACGTCGACGTGGACGTGGACGTGGACGTGGACGTGGACGTGGACATGGACGTAGACGTGGACGTGTACGTTGACGTGGACATGGACGTGGACGTGGACGTGGACGTGGAGGAGTTGGACGTGTACATGAACGTGGACGTGGACAAGGACGTGGAAGTGGACGTGGACGTGGACGTGGAAAACTTGGACGTGGACATGGACGTGAACGTGGACGTGGACATGGACGTGGAGGACTTGGACGTGGACATGGACGTGGACGTGGACGTGGACATGGACGTGGACGTAGACGTGGACGTGGACGTGGACGTGGACATGGACGTAGACATGGACGTGTACGTTGACGTGGACATGGACATGGACGTGGACGTGGACGTGGAGGAGTTGGACGTGTACATGGACGTGGACGTGGACATGGACGTGGAAGTGGACGTGGACGTGGACGTGGAAAACTTGGACGTGGACATGGACGTGAACGTGGACGTGGACATGGACGTGGAGGACTTGGACGTGGACATGGACGTGGACGTGGACGTAGACATGGACGTGGGCGTGGACATGGAGGTGGACGTGGACGTGGACGTGGACATGGACGTGGACGTGGACGTGGACGTGGTCGTGGACATGGACATGAACATGGACATGGACGTGGACGTGGACGTGGACGTGGACGTGGTCGTGGACGTGGACGTGGACGTGGTCATGGACGTGGACGTGGTTGTGGACGTGGACGTGGACGTGGACATGGACGTGGACGTGGACGTGGACGTGGACGTGGACGTGGACATGGTCGTGGACATGGACGTGGACGTGGACGTGGACGTGACGTGGACGTGGACGTGGACATGACGTGGACGTGGACGTGGACGTGGACGTGGACGTGGAGATGGACGTGGACATGGACGTGGACGTAGACCTAGACGTGGAAGTGGACGTGGACGTGGACGTGGACGTGGACATGGACGTGGACGTGGACGTGGACGTGGACGTGGACGTGGACGTGGACATGACGTGGACGTGGACGTGGACGTGGACGTGGACGTGGAGATGGACGTGGACATGGACGTGGACGTAGACCTAGACGTGGAAGTGGACGTGGACGTGGACGTGGACGTGGACGTGGCGTGGACGTGGACGTGGACGTGGACGTGGACGTGGACGTGGACATGGACGTGGACATGGACGTGGACGTGGACGTGGACATGGACGTGGACGTGGACGTGGACGTGGACGTGGAGGACGTAGACGTGGACGTGGAGGACGTGGACGTGGACGTGGACGTGGACGTGGACGTGGACGTGGACGTGGAGAACGTGGACGTGGACATGGACGTGAACGTGGACGTGGACGTGGACGTGGACGTGGACGTGGACGTGGAGGACTTGGACGTGGACATGGACGTGGACGTGGAGTGGACGTGGACGTGGACATGGACGTGGACGTGGACGTGGACACGGACGTGGACACGGACGTGGACATGGACGTAGACGTGGACCTGGACATGGACGTGGACGTGGACCTGGACATGGACGTGGACGTGGACGTGGACGTGGACATGGACGTGGACGTGGACCTGGACGTGGACGTGGACGTGGACGTGGACGTGGACGTGGAGGTGGACATGGACATGGACGTGGACGTGGACATGGACGTGGACGTGGACGTGAGCGTGGACGTGGAGGTGGACATGGACGTGGACATGGACGTGGACGTGGAGGTGGGCGTGGACGTGGAGGTGGACGTGGACGTGGAGGTGGACGTGGACGTGGAGGTGGACGTGGACGTGGACGTGGACATAACGTGGACGTGGACATGGACGTGGACGTGGACGTCGACGTGGACGTGGAGGTGGACATGGACGTCGACATGGACGTGGACGTGGAGGTGGACGTGGACGTGGAGGTGGACGTGGACGTGGAGGTGGACGTGGAGGTGGACGTGGAGGTGGACGTGGACGTGGACATGGACGTGGAGGTGGACGTGGAGGTGGACGTGGAGGTGGACGTGGAGGTGGAGGTGGACGTGGACGTGGACGTGGACGTGGACGTGGACGTGGACGTGGACGTGGAGGTGGACGTGGAGGTGGACGTGGAGGTGGACGTGGAGGTGGAGGTGGAGGTGGACGTGGAGGTGGACGTGGAGGTGGAGGTGGAGGTGGACGTGGACGTGGAGGTGGACGTAGAGGTGGACGTGGAGGTGGAGGTGGACGTGGACGTGGACGTTGACGTGGACGTTGACGTGGACGTGGACGTGGACGTGGACGTGGACCTAACGTGGACGTGGACGTGGAGGTGGACGTGGACGTGGACGTGGAGGTGGACGTGGAGGTGGACGTGGAGGTGGACGTGGAGGTGGACGTGGAGGTGGACGTGGAGGTGGACGTGGAGGTGGACGTGGAGGTGGACGTGGACGTGGACGTGGACGTGGACGTGGAGGTGGACGTGGAGGTGGAGGTGGACGTGGACGTGGACGTGGACGTGGACGTGGACGTGGACGTGGACGTGGACGTGGACGTGGACGTGGACGTGGACGTGGAGGTGGACGTGGAGGTGGACGTGGAGGTGGACGTGGAGGTGGAGGTGGAGGTGGACGTGGAGGTGGACGTGGAGGTGGAGGTGGAGGTGGAGGTGGACGTGGAGGTGGACGTGGAGGTGGACGTGGAGGTGGAGGTGGACGTGGACGTGGACGTGGACGTTGACGTGGACGTGGACGTTGACGTGGACGTGGACGTGGACGTGGACGTGGACCTAACGTGGACATGGACGTGGAGGTGGACGTGGACGTGGACGTGGAGGTGGACGTGGAGGTGGACGTGGAGGTGGACGTGGAGGTGGACGTGGAGGTGGACGTGGACGTGGACGTGGACGTGGACGTGGACGTGGAGGTGGACGTGGAGGTGGACGTGGACGTGGACGTGGACGTGGACGTGGACGTGGACGTGGACGTGGACGTGGAGGTGGACGTGGAGGTGGACGTGGACGTGGACGTGGATGTGGGCGTGGACGTGGAGATGGACGTGGACGAGGACGTGGCCGTGGGCCCCGTGGACCTCGACCATGGACGTAGACGTGGACGTGGACGTGGAGGACGTAGACGTCGACAAGGACGTGGACGTGGAGAACTTGGACGTGGACATGGACGTGAACATGGACGTGGACGTGGACGTGGAGGACTTGGACTTGGACATGGACGTGGACGTGGAGGTGGACATGGACGTGGACGTGGACGTGGACGTGGACGTGACGTGGACGTGGACGTGGACGTGACGTGGACGTGGACGTGGACGTGGACGTGGACGTGGAGATGGACGTGGACATGGACGTGGACGTAGACATAGACGTGGAAGTGGACGTGGACGTGGACGTGGACGTGGACGTGGCGTGGACGTGGACGTGGACGTGGACGTGGACGTGGACGTGGACATGGACGTGGACATGGACGTGGACGTGGACGTGGACGTGGACGTGGACGTGGACGTGGAGGACGTGGACGTGGACGTGGAGGACGTGGACGTGGACGTGGACGTGGACGTGGACGTGGACGTGGAGAACGTGGACGTGGACCTGGACGTGGACGTGGACGTGGACGTGGACGTGGACGTGGACGTGGAGGACTTGGACGTGGACATGGACGTGGACGTGGAGTGGACGTGGACGTGGACACGGACGTGGACGTGGACGTGGACACGGACGTGGACACGGACGTGGACATGGACGTAGACGTGGACCTGGACATGGACGTGGACGTGGACCTGGACGTGGACGTGGACATGGACGACTTGGACGTGGACATGGACGTGGACGTGGAGTGGACGTGGACGTGGACACGGACGTGGACGTGGACGTGGACACGGACGTGGACACGGACGTGGACATGGACGTAGACGTGGACCTGGACATGGACGTGGACGTGGACCTGGACATGGACGTGGACGTGGACGTGGACGTGGACGTGGACGAAGACGTGGACCTGGACGTGGACGTGGACGTGGACGTGGACGTGGAGGTGGACATGGACATGGACGTGGACGTGGACATGGACGTGGACGTGGACGTGGACGTGGACGTGGAGGTGGACATGGACGTGGACATGGACGTGGACGTGGAGGTGGACGTGGACGTGGAGGTGGACGTGAACGTGGACGTGGACGTGGACGTGGACATAACGTGGACGTGGACATGGACGTGGACGTGGACGTCGACGTGGACGTGGAGGTGGACATGGACGTCGACATGGACGTGGACGTGGAGGTGGACGTGGACGTGGAGGTGGACGTGGACGTGGAGGTGGACGTGGAGGTGGACGTCGAGGTGGACGTGGACATGGACGTGGAGGTGGACGTGGAGGTGGACGTGGAGGTGGACGTGGAGGTGGACGTGGAGGTGGAGGTGGACGTGGACGTGGACGTGGACGTGGACGTGGACGTAGACGTGGACGTGGAGGTGGACGTGGAGGTGGACGTGGAGGTGGACGTGGAGGTGGACGTGGAGGTGGAGGTGGAGGTGGACGTGGAGGTGGACGTGGAGGTGGAGGTGGAGGTGGAGGTGGACGTGGAGGTGGACGTGGAGGTGGACGTGGAGGTGGAGGTGGACGTGGACGTGGACGTTGACGTGGACGTGGACGTTGACGTGGACGTGGACGTGGACGTGGACCTAACGTGGACGTGGACGTGGAGGTGGACGTGGACGTGGACGTGGAGGTGGAGGTGGACGTGGACGTGGACGTGGAGGTGGAGGTGGACGTGGACGTGGACGTGGACGTGGACGTGGACGTGGACGTGGAGGTGGACGTGGAGGTGGACGTGGACGTGGACGTGGACGTGGACGTGGACGTGGACGGTGGACGTGGAGGTGGACGTGGACGTGGACGTGGACGTGGACGTGGATGTGGACGTGGACGTGGAGTGGACGTGGACGTGGACGTGGACCTGGACATGGACGTGGACGTGGACGTGGACGTGGACGTGGACGTGGACGTGGATGTGGGCGTGGACGTAGAGATGGACGTGGACGAGGACGTGGCCGTGGACCCCGTGGACCTCGACCATGGACGTGGACGTGGACGTTGACGTGGAGGACGTGGACGTGGACAAGGACGTGGACGTGGAGAACTTGGACGTGGACATGGACGTGAACATGGACGTGGACGTGGACGTGGAGGACTTGGACTTGGACATGGACGTGGACGTGGAGGTGGACATGGACGTGGACGTGGACATGGACGTGGACGTGGACATGGACGTGGACGTGGACGTGGACGTGGACATGGACATGGACGTGGACGTGGACGTGGACGTGGACATGGACATAGACGTGGACGTGGACGTGGACGTGGACATGGACGTGGACGTGGACATCGTCGTGGACGTGGACGTGGACGTGGACGTGGACATGGACATGGACGTGGACGTGAACAAGACGTGGACGTGAACATGGACGTGGACATGGACGTGGACATGGACGTGGACGTTGACGTGGACATGGACGTGGACGTAGACATGGACGTGGACATGGACGTGGACATGGACGTGGACATGGACGTGGACGACGTGGACATGGACGTGGACATGGACGTGGACATGGACGTGGACGTGGACGTGGGCGTGGACGTGGACGTGGACGTGGACGTGGAGATGGACGTGGACGTGGACGTGGAGGACTTGGACGTGGAGATGGACGTTGACGTGGACGTGGACGTAGACGTGGACATGGACGTAGACGTGGACATGGACGTGGACGTGGACGTGGACATGGACGTGGACATGTACGTGGACGTCGACGTGGAAGTGGACGTGGACGTGGAGAACTTGGACGTGGACATGGACGTGGACATCGACGTGGACGTGGACGTGGACGAAGACATGGTCGTGGACGTGGACGTGGACGTGGACGTGGACATGGACAAGGACTTAGACGTGGACGTGGACGTGGACGTGGACGTGGTCGTGGACGTGGTCTTGGACATGGACGTGGACGTGGACATGGACGTGGACATGGACGTGGACGTGGACGTAGACGTGGACATGGATGTGGACGTGGACGTGGACGTGGACCTGGACGTGGACCTGGTCGTGGACATGGACGTGGACGTGGACGTGGACCTGGACCTGGACGTGGACGTGGACGTGGACATGGACGTGGACATGGACGTGGACATGGACGTGGACGTGGACGTGGACGTGGACGTGGACGTGGACTGGGACGTGGACGTGGACGTGGAGTGGACGTGGACGTGGACGTGGACGTGGACGTGGACGTGAACGTGGACATGGACGTGGAGTAGACGTGGACGTGGACGTGGACGTGGACGTGGACGTGAACGTGGACGTGGACCTGGACGTGGACGTGGACGTGGACGTGGACGTGGACGTGGACGTGGACTGGACGTGGACGTGGACGTGGACGTGGACGTGGAGAACTTGGACGTGGACATGGACTTGGACGTGGACATGGACGTGGACGTGGACGTGGACGTGGACATGGACGTGGACGTGGACATGGACGTGGACGTGGACATGGACGTGGACGTGGACGTGGACGTGGACGTGGACGTGGACATGGACGTGGACGTGGACATGGACGTGGACGTGGACATGGACGTAGACGTGGACGTGGACGTGGACGTGGACATGGACGTGGACGTGGACGTGGACGTGGAGGACGTGGACGTGGACGTGGAGGACGTGGACGTGGACGTGGACGTGGACGTGGAGAACTTGGACGTGGACATGGACGTGAACGTGGACGTGGAGGACTTGGACGTGGACATGGACGTGGACGTGGAGTGGACGTGGACGTGGACATGGACGTGGACGTGGACGTGGACGTGAACGTGGACATGGACGTGGACATGGACGTGGACGTGGACGTGGACGTGGACGTGGACATGGACGTGGACGTGGACGTGGACGTGAACATGGACATGGACGTAGAGTGGACGTGGACGTGGACGTGGACGTGGACGTGGACGTGAACGTGGACGTGGACCTGGACGTGGACGTGGACGTGGACGTGGACGTGGACAGGGACGTGGACGTGGACGTGGACGTGGACGTGGAGAACTTGGACGTGGACATGGACGTGGACGTGGACATGGACGTGGACGTGGACGTGGACGTGGACGTGGACATGGACGTGGACGTGGACGTGGACCTGGACGTGGACGTGGACGTGGACGTGGACGTGGACATGGACGTGGACGTGGACATGGACGTGGACGTGGACGTGGACATGGACGTAGACGTGGACGTGGACGTTGACGTGGACATGGACGTGGACGTGGACGTGGAGGACGTGGACGTGGACGTGGAGGACGAAGACGTGGACGTGGACGTGGACGTGGAGAACTTGGACGTGGACATGGACGTGAACGTGGACGTGGAGGACTTGGACGTGGACATGGACGTGGACGTGGAGTGGACGTGGACGTGGACGTGGACGTGGACGTGGACGTGACGTGGACGTGGACGTGGACGTGGGCGTGGACGTGGACGTGGACGTGGACGGGACGTGGACGTGGACCTGGACGTGGACGTGGACGTGGACGTGGACGTGGCCGTGGACCTGGACGTGGACGTGGACGTGGACGTGGACGTGGACGTGGAGGACGTGGACGTGGACGTGGATGTGAACGTGGACGTGGACGTGGACGTGGACGTGGAGGACTTGGACGTGGACATGGACGTGGACGTGGAGGTAGACATGGACGTGGACGTGGACATGGACGTGGACGTGGATGTGGACGTGGACGTGGAGATGGACGTGGACGTGGACGTGGCCGTGGACCTCGACCATGGACGTGGACGTGGACGTGGACGTGAAGGACGTGGACGTGGACTTGGACGTGGACGTGGAGAACTTGGACGTGGACATGGACGTGGACGTGGAGGACTTGGAGGTGGACATGGACGTGGACGTGGAGGTGGACATGGACGTGGACGTGGACGTGGACGTGGACGTGGACGTGGACGTGGAGGTGGACATGGACGTGGACGTGGACATGGACGTGGACGTGGACGTGGACATGGACGTGGACGTCGACGTGGACGTGGACATGGACATGGACGTGGACGTGGACGTGGACGTGGACGTGGACATGGACATAGACGTGGACGTGGACGTGGACGTGAACAAGACGTGGACGTGAACATGGACGTGGACATGGACGTGGACGTGGACATGGACGTGGACGTGGACATGGACGTGGACGTGGACGTGGACATGGACGTGGACGTAGACATGGACGTGGACATGGACGTGGACATGGACGTGGACATGGACATGGACGTGGACATGGACGTGGACATGGACGTGGACATGGACGTGGACATGGACGTGGACGTGGACGTGGACGTGGGCGTGGACGTGGACGTGGACGTGGAGATGGACGTGGACGTGGACGTGGAGGACTTGGACGTGGAGATGGACGTTGACGTGGACGTGGACGTGGACGTGGACATGGACGTGGACATGGACGTGGACGTGGACGTGGACATGGACGTGGACATGTACGTGGACGTCGACGTGGAAGTGGACGTGGACGTGGAGAACTTGGACGTGGACATGGACGTGGACATGGACGTGGACGTGGACGTGGACGAAGACATGGTCGTGGATGTGGACGTGGACGTGGACGTGGACATGGACTTAGACGTGGACGTGGACGTGGACGTGGACGTGGTCGTGGACGTGGACGTGGACGTGGACGTAGACGTGGACGTGGACCTGGACGTGGACGAGGACGTGGACGTGGACATGGACGTGGACATGGACGTGGACGTGGACGTGGACGTGGACGTGGACGTGGACGTGGACCTGGACGTGGACCTGGTCGTGAACATGGACGTAGACGTGGACGTGGACGTGGACCTGGACGTGGACGTGGACGTGGACGTGGACGTGGACGTGGACATGGACGTGGACCTGGACGTGGACCTGGTCGTGGACATGGACGTGGACGTGGACGTGGACGTGGACCTGGACGTGGACGTGGACGTGGACGTGGACGTGGACATGGACATGGACGTGGACGTGGACATGGACGTGGACATGGACGTGGACGTGGACGTGGACGTGGACTGGGACGTGGACGTGGACGTGGAGTGGACGTGGACGTGGACGTGGACGTGAACGTGGACGTGGACGTGGAGATGGACGTGGACGTGGACGTGGAGGACTTGGACGTGGAGATGGACGTTGACGTGGACGTGGACGTGGACGTGGACATGGACGTGGACATGGACGTGGACGTGGACGTGGACATGGACGTGGACATGTACGTGGACGTCGACGTGGAAGTGGACGTGGACGTGGAGAACTTGGACGTGGACATGGACGTGGACATGGACGTGGACGTGGACGTGGACGAAGACATGGTCGTGGATGTGGACGTGGACGTGGACGTGGACATGGACTTAGACGTGGACGTGGACGTGGATGTGGACGTGGTCGTGGACGTGGACGTGGACGTGGACGTAGACGTGGACGTGGACCTGGACGTGGACGAGGACGTGGACGTGGACATGGACGTGGACATGGACGTGGACGTGGACGTGGACGTGGACGTGGACGTGGACCTGGACGTGGACCTGGTCGTGAACATGGACGTGGACGTGGACGTGGACGTGGACCTGGACGTGGACGTGGACGTGGACGTGGACGTGGACATGGACGTGGACCTGGACGTGGACCTGGTCGTGGACATGGACGTGGACGTGGACGTGGACGTGGACCTGGACGTGGACGTGGACGTGGACGTGGACGTGGACATGGACAGGGACGTGGACGTGGACATGGACGTGGACATGGACGTGGACGTGGACGTGGACGTGGACTGGGACGTGGACGTGGACGTGGAGTGGACGTGGACGTGGACGTGGACGTGAACGTGGACGTGGACGTGAACGTGGACGTGGACGTGGAGTGGACGTGGACGTGGACGTGGACGTGGACGTGAACGTGGACGTGGACCTGGACGTGGACGTGGACGTGGACGTGGACGTGGACGTAGACGTGGACATGGACGTGGACGTGGACGTGGACGTGGACGTGGAGAACTTGGACGTGGACATGGACGTGGACATGGACATGGACGTGGACGTGGACGTGGACGTGGACGTGGACGTGGACGTGGACATGGACGTGGACGTGGACCTGGACGTGGACGTCGACGTGGACGTGGACGTGGACATGGACGTGGACGTGGACGTGGACGTGGACGTGGACGTGGACGTGGACGTGGACATGGACGTAGACGTGGACGTGGACGTGGACGTGGACGTGGACATGGACGTGGACGTGGACGTGGAGGACGTGGACGTGGACGTGGAGGACGTGGACGTGGACGTGGACGTGGACGTGGAGGACTTGGACGTGGACATGGACGTGAATGTGGACGTGGAGGACTTGGACGTGGACATGGACGTGGACGTGGACGTGGAGTGGACGTGGACGTGGACATGGACGTGGACGTGGACGTGGCGTGGACGTGGACGTGGACGTGGACGTGGACGTGGACGTGGACGTGGACGGGACGTGGACGTGGACCTGGACGTGGACGTGGACGTGGACGTGGACGTGGACGTGGACGTGGACCTGGACGTGGACGTGGCCGTGGACCTGGACGTGGACGTGGACGTGGACGTGGACGTGGACGTGGAGGACGTGGACGTGGAGGACGTGGTCGTGGACGTGGACGTGGACGTAAACGTGGACGTGGACGTGGACGTGGAGGACTTGGACGTGGACATGGACGTGGACGTGGAGGTGGACGTGGACGTGGACGTGGACGTGGACATGGACGTGGACGTGGACGTGGACGTGGACGTGGACGTGGACCTGGTCGTGGACGTGGACGTGGACGTGGACGTGGACGTGGACGTGGACGTGAACATGGACGTGGACGTGGACATGGTCGTGGACGTGGACGTGGACGTGGACGTGGACATGGACGTGAACAAGACGTGGACGTGAACATGGACGTGGACATGGACGTGGACGTGGACATGGACGTGGACATGGACGTGGACATGGACGTGGACGTGGACATGGACGTGGACGTGCACGTGGACATGGACGTGGACGTGGACATGGACGTGGACGTGGACGTGGAGGTGGACGTGGAGGTGGACGTGGAGGTGGACGTGGACGTGGACGTGGACGTGGACGTGGACATGGACGTGGACATGGACGTGGACCTGGACGTGGGCGTGGACGTGGACGTGGACGTGGACGTGGAGATGGACGTGGACGTGGACGTGGAGGACTTGGACGTGGAGATGGACGTTAAAGTGGACGTGGACGTGGACATGGACGTGGACGTGGACATGGACGTGGACGTGGACGTGGACATGGACGTGGACATGTACGTGGACGTCGACGTGGAAGTGGACGTGGACGTGGAGAACTTGGACGTGGACATGGACGTGGACATGGACGTGGACGTGGACGTGGATGAAGACATGGTCGTAGATGTGGAGGTGGACGTGGACGTGGACGTGGACGTGGACATGGACTTAGACGTGGACGTGGACGTGGACGTGGACGTGGACGTGGACGTGGTCGTGGACGTGGACGTGGTCTTGGACATAGACGTGGACGTGGACATGTACGTGGACGTGGACGTGGACGTAGACATGGACGTGGACCTGGACGTGGACGAGGACGTGGACGTGGACATGGACGTGGACGTGGACATAGACAGGGACATGGACTTGGACATGGACGTGGACATGGACGTGGACGTGGACATGGACATGGACATGGACGTGGACGTGAACGTGGACGTGGACATAGACGTGGACGTGGACGTGGACATGGACATGGACACGTCCACGTCCATGTCCACATCCACGTCCATGTCCACGTCCACGTCCATGTCCACGTCCATGTCCATGTCCATGTACACGTCCACGTCCACGTCCACGTCCATGTCATTTGCACTCTAAGTTCCCATACTGACCGACCTTGCCAATGCACCATTTTCCATATACATATGTATTAGATTCCTTTCGAACCTTATTAGCTCACTAGATTTATATATTTCCCACCTTCTGATCGAGTGAGACCGCTAGATTCCCTCTACTTTTTGAGAAATGAGTGTTTCCGTTCTCCTAGGCCCTAGTTGCACTATATGTGCGAAATGCCGGCCAGACTGGCCGATGCACCATTTTCTCTACAGATGTGCGTTAGTTACCTTTCAAACCCTTACGTTCACTAGATGAATAGATTTCCTACTTTCTATTTGAGTGAGACCACTTAATTCCGTGTACTATGCGAGATCTGAGCGCTTTCGTTCTCCCTGGCATTTGCATTTTAAGTTCCGATACTGACCGACGTGGCCAATGCACCATTTTCTCTATACATGTGCGTTGAATACATTTCAAACCTTTTTAGCTGACTAGATTTATATATTTCCCACCTTCTGATCGAGTGAGACCATTAGATTCCCTCTACTTTTTGAGAAACGAGCGTTTCCGTTCTCTCTGGCCCCACCTGCACTATGAGTGCGAAATGCCGGCCAGACTGGCCGATGCACCATTTTCTCTACACATGTGCGTTAGTTACCTTTCAAACCCTTACGTTCACTAGATCAATATATTTCCTACCTTATATTTGAGTGAGACCACTAGATTCCGTGCATTATGCGAGATCTGAGCGGTTCCGTTCTCCCAGGCATTTGCACTCTAAGTTCCCATACTGACCGACCTGGCCAATGCACCACTTTCCATATACATATGCATTAGATTCCTTCCGAACCTTATTAGCTCACTAGATTTATATATTTCCCACCTTTTGATCGAGAGAGACCGCTAGATTCCCTTTACTTTTTGAGAAATGAGCGTTTCCATTCTCCTTGGCCCTACTTGCACTATAAGTGCGAAATGCCGGCCAGACTGGCCGATGCACCATTTTCTCTACACATGTGCGTTAGTTACCTTTCACACTATTACGTTCACTAGATGAATTTATTTCCTACCTTGTATTTGAGTGAGACCACTAGATTCCGTGTACTATGCGAGATCTGAACGCTTCCGTTCTCCCTGGCATTTGCACTCTAAGTTCCCATACTGACCGACCTGGCCAATGCACCATTTTCCATATACATATGCATTAGATTCCTTTCGAACCTTATTAGCTCACTAGATTTATATATTTCCCACCTTCTGATCGAGTGATACCGCTAGATTCCTTTACTTTTTGAGAAATGAGCGTTTCCGTTTTCCTTGGCCCTAGTTGCACTATAAGTGCGAAATGCCGGCCAGACTGGCCGATGCACAATTTTCTCTACACATGTGCGTTAGTTACCTTTCAAACCCTTACGTTCACTAGATGAATATATTTCCAACTTTCCATTTGAGTAAGACCACTTGATTCCGTGTACTATGCGAGATGTGAGCGCTTCCGTTCTCCCTGGCATTTGCATTTTAAGTTCCGATACTGACCGACCTGGCCAATGCACCATTTTCTCTATACATGTGCGTTGAATACATTTCAAACCTTTTTAGCTGACTAGATTTATATATTTCCCACCTTCTGATCGAGTGAGACCATTAGATTCCCTCTACTTTTTGAGAAACGAGCGTTTCCGTTCTCTCTGGCCCCACCTGCACTATGAGTGCGAAATGCCGGCCAGACTAGCCGATGCACCATTTTCTCTACACATGTGCGTTAGTTACCTTTCAAACCCTTACGTTCACTAGATCAATATATTTCCTACCTTATATTTGAGTGAGACCACTAGATTCCGTGCATTATGCGAGATCTGAGCGGTTCCGTTCTCCCAGGCATTTGCACTCTAAGTTCCCATACTGACCGACCTGGCCAATGCACCACTTTCCATATACATATGCATTAGATTCCTTCCGAACCTTATTAGCTCACTAGATTTATATATCTCCCACCTTTTGATCGAGTGAGACCGCTAGATTCCCTCTACTTTTTGGGAAATGAGCGTTTCCGTTCTCCTTGGCCCTACTTGCACTATAAGTGCGAAATGCCGGCCAGACTGGCCGATGCACCATTTTCTCTACACATATGCGTTAGTTACCTTTGAAACCCTTACGTTCACTAGATGAATTTATTTCCTACCTTCTATTTGAGTGAGACCACTAGATTCCGTGTACTATGCGAGATTTGAGCGGTTCCGTTCTCCCAGATATTTGCACTCCAAGTCCCCATACTGACCGACCTGGCCAATGCACCACTTTCCATATACATATGCATTAGATTCCTTCCGAACCTTATTAGCTCAATAGATTTATATATTTCCCACCTTCTGATTAAGTGAGACCGCTAGATTCCCTTTACTTTTTGAGAATTGAGCGTTTCCGTTCTCCTTGGCCCTACTTGCACTATAAGTGCAAAATGCCGGCCAGACTGGCCGATGCACCATTTTCTCTACACATGTACGTTAGTTTCCTTTTCAAACCCTTACGTTCACTAGATAAATATATTTCCTACTTTCTATTTGAGTGAGACCACTTGATTCCGTATGCTATGCGAGATCTGAGCGCTTCCGTTCTCCCTGGCATTTGCACTCTAAGTTTCCATACTGACCGACCTGGCCAATGCACCATTTTCCACATGCATATGCATTAGATTCCTTTCGAAACTTATTAGCTCCCTAGATTTATATATTTTCCACCTTCTGATCTAGTGAGACCGCTAGATTCTCTTTACTTTTTGAGAAATGAGTGTTTTCGTTCTCCTTGGCCCTACTTGCACTATAAGTGCGAAATGCCGGCCAGACTGGCCGATGCACCATTTTCTCTACACATGTGCGTTCGTTACCTTTCAAACCCTTACGTTCACTAGATGAATTTATTTCCTACCTTCTATTTGAGTGAGACCACTAGATTCCGTGTACTATGCGAGATTTGAGCGGTTCCGTTCTCCCAGACATTTGCACTCTAAGTTCCCATACTGACCGACCTGGCCAATGCACCACTTTCCATATACATATGCATTAGATTCCTTCCGAACCTTATTAGATCACTAGATTTATATATTTCCCACCTTCTGATTAAGTGAGACCGCTAGATTCCCTTTACTTTTTGAGAAATGAGCGTTTCCGTTCTCCTTGGCCCTACTTGCACTATAAGTGCGAAATGCCGGCCAGACTGGACGATGCACCATTTTCTCTACACATGTGCGTTAGTTACCTTTCAAACCCTTACCTTCACTAGATGAATTTATTTCCTACCTTCTATTTGAGTGAGACCACTAGATTCCGTGTACTATGCAAGATTTGAGCGGTTCCGTTCTCCCAGACATTTGCACACTAAGTTCCCATACTAACCGACCTGGCCAATGCACTACTTTCCATATACATATGCATTAGATTCCTTCCGAACCTTATTAGATCACTAGATTTATATATTTCCCACCTTCTGATCGAGTGAGACCGCTAGATTCCCTTTACTTTTTGAGAAATGAGCGTTTCCGTTCTCCTTGGCCCTACTTGCACTATAAGTGCGAAATGCCGGCCAGACTGGCCGATGCACCATTTTCTCTACACATGTGCGTTAGTTACCTTTCAAACCCTTACGTTCACTAGATGAATTTATTTCCTACCTTCTATTTGAGTGAGACCACTAGATTCCGTGTACTATGCGAGATTTGAGCGGTTTCGTTCTCCCAGACATTTGCACTCTAAGTTCCCATACTGACCGACCTGGCCAATGCACCACTTTCCATATACATATGCATTAGATTCCTTCCAAACCTTATTAGCTCACTAGATTTATATATTTCCCACCTTCTGATCGAGTGAGACGGCTAGATTCCCTTTACTTTTTGAGAAATGAGCGTTTCCGTTCTCCTTGGCCCTACTTGCACTATAAGTGCGAAATGCCGGCCAGACTAGCCGATGCACCATTTTCTCTACACATGTGCGTTAGTTACCTTTCAAACCCTTACGTTCACTAGATAAATTTATTTCCTACCTTCTATTTGAGTGAGACCACTAGATTCCGTGTACTATGCGAGATCTGAGGGCTTCCGTTCTCCCTGGCATTTGCACTCTAAGTTCCCATACTGACCGACCTGGCCAATGCACCATTTTCCATATACATATGCATTAGATTCCTTTCGAACCTGATTAGCTCACTAGATTTATATATTTCCCACCTTCTTATCGAGTGAGACCGCTAGATTCCCTCTACTTTTTGAGAAATGAGCGTTTCCGTTCTCCTTGGCCCTACTTGCACTATAAGTGCGAAATGCCGGCCAGACTAGCCGATGCACCATTTTCTCTACACATATGCGTTAGTTACCCGTCAACCCCTTACGTTCACTAGATGAATTTATTTCCTACCTTCTATTTGAGTGAGACCACTAGATTCCGTGTACTATGCGAGATTTGAGCGGTTCCGTTCTCCCAGACATTTGCACTCTAAGTTCCCATACTGACCGACCTGGCCAATGCACCACTTTCCATATACATATGCATTAGATTCCTTCCGAACCTTATTAGCTCACTAGATTTATATATTTCCCACCTTCTGATCGAGTGAGACGGCTAGATTCCCTTTACTTTTTGAGAAATGAGCGTTTCCGTTCTCCTTGGCCCTACTTGCACTATAAGTGCGAAATGCCGGCCAGACTGGCCGATGCACCATTTTCTCTACACATGTACGTTAGTTACCTTTCAAACCCTTACGTTCACTAGATGAATTTATTTCCTACCTTCTATTTGAGTGAGACCACTAGATTCCGTGTACTATGCGAGATTTGAGCGGTTCCGTTCTCCCAGACATTTGCACTCTAAGTTCCCATACTGACCGACCTGGCCAATGCACCATTTTCCACATACATATGCATTAGATTCCTTTCGAACCTTATTAGCTCACTATATTTATATATTTCCCACCTTCTGATCAAGTGAGACCGCTAGATTTCCTCTACTTTTTGAGACATGAGCGTTTCCGTTCTCCTTGGCCCTAGTTGCACTATAAGTGCGAAATGCCGGCCAGACTGGCCGATGTACCATTTTCTCTACACATGTGCGTTAGTTACCTTTCAAACCCTTACGTTCACTAGATAAATTTATTTCCTACCTTCTATTTGAGTGAGACCACTAGATTCCGTGTACTATGCGAGATCTGAGGGCTTCCGTTCTCCCTGGCATTTGCACTCTAAGTTCCCATACTGACCGGCCTGGCCAATGCACCATTTTCCATATACATATGCATTAGATTCCTTTCGAACCTTATTAGCTCACTAGATTTATATATTTCCCACCTTCTTATCAAGTGAGACCGCTAGATTCCCTCTACTTTTTGAGAAATGAGCGTTTCCGTTCTCCTTGGCCCTACTTGCACTATAAGTGCGAAATGCCGGCCAGACTGGCCGATGCACCATTTTCTCTACAC